GTCAAGTCAAAGTAAATAAATTGATTTCATATATTTTCAGGCATCTAACAGTAAATAAATATATATAAATAATATAAAACTTATAATAATAATAATAATCTATATTAATTTTACGATAATTTATTTATACAAGATTGTTTTACGATATATTGTTTTTTTTACAGTATATACAGTAATTATTCATCATCCTTTTACTGTCTGTTTGTTATATATTTATATATATTTTGTTGACAATTATTTTGTTATTTACATAATTATTGGACATATTCAAGAAAGTACACAAATTGGAAGAGACTTCAGTTTGATGATATACACATTCAGTTACAGACGACATTGCACAAAGTATAAAGAAAGGTAAAAGAAAAATATTCGAACACCGCTAACGAACAGAACAATCGGAATCTCTCGCATCTCTCGCCATTGTAATTATATCCAATCAATTTCTCTCGTATTAAAGCAACTACAGTATATACGTGTTGTGGTGGTTGGTCTTCCTTATCTGCACACGTTTCCATCATCGGAACATAAGTAATGCGGTGGCACTAGAAACAGCTTTCCATTATTGCAGACGCACAGCTGGTAAATGTCGTGGTTTTTGGATTGGCTGGGTTTGCTGCTCGGTATGGCCGTTGGTATTTTATCCATCAATATAACACTCGATTCTAATCGTATTGCTCCTGCAACGGATTTCAGTTTTATATCGTTTAAAGACATGGATTTTATATCTCCGGCTCGCGATTCGATGTTTATTCCTGACGGTGCTCGCATCTCCAAAGATCGAGTCGGTGATTCCAACCTGTAACAGAAATCAACGTTTCAATCAGAGAGTCCAAACGAAATTAATTTCGTTCCGGTTTACTCTTACGTTAACAAGTAAATGTTTATCGTTCCAGATAAGGTTTTGGTTCCGTTTAAAAATCGAAAGAAAAGCAATTTAAATTGGTTAGGTAAAATTTGAAATCGAGTCCAATATCAAATTTTGATTTAATTGTTGAATTATAAAATTGAAAATACAAAAGAAATAAAAAATAATTAGTGGCTTTATTCAGTTAAAAATTCCGGTTATTTTCGGTTTACGGTTTTCGGTTCCGGTTCGAATCTCTGGTTTTAATGCATCGTGCAATTATTAGGATGCATTAAATCTCCGAGTTTGTAATTTGAACCGAATTGAAATGCAGATCGCTGACGATATTTTCGGACGTGTCAAAACAAACCGTCGAGAAACCATTATGACATCTTAGTTATGTACGAGACTTCGCTAAGTGTGGACGTGTTTAATCTTTTCCTCACGTAGTAATGTTAGAAATTACGGGAAGACGTGTTTCCATCAACATTTTCCCCGTAAAAGAAAAGATAAGATATTATAAGAAAAAAGAAATGAATTGTTACGAATTGCAACTGCGAAGAAAATCATAATTCAACGTTAATAGGTTGTTATAACACAGTTTTCAAACAGTTATATCTTTTTTATTTATCTATATAATTATTATTTTTTCAAATTACAGATTGTATTAGAAGAAAATATAATTATTAGATTGTGGATTCGCCGGGTAAATTAACTATTATGTAGGAAAGTATGCTGATTTAATAACGAATGGTTTATGCAGTGTTCAATATACGATGAATTACGTACATTTAGTTTCTATTAGAGCAGTGTTTGCGTTCCGATTACAATGACAGATGTATAAATAAATACATTATGTAGGACTGATTGCAGGCAATAATAATTCGTATGGGGAGATTTTTTTAAATGTGGCACAAAGGCGAAATGTAGCCGCAGTAATCAACGAATATTTAGATACGAATCGTAATTGAATAATAAATCGGTTTATGCCGTGATCTGAGGCCTCGAACCGCACACACATTGTGTTTGCTTGCTTGCTTGCTTACTGCTGGTCGTGGTAAGCAATTTTGTAATCATCGAGCGGTAATACTTTTTTTCTCTAATGCCCTCACATGTGTATGTCAAGAGGAAAGGGTGAGTTTGTGGTTACCTCAAAGGAATTCTCCACAAAAGCAGAGTATGTCCATCTTTCTGGTTTAAATCGTTGCAGTTGTATACGTGCTATTTATGTAATTTAACTTTCATACGTCCGCGGCAATAAATCGTGATAAAGTCGTTGAATTTACATTTTGACTGTTTCAGTGTATATAATATATCTTGTAGTAGCGCGCACATCTGTTGCAGATCGGACGCACCACTCGCTTTTAAACTCTTATGCATACCAGAAGAACACGAGCCTTGCCTTTGCAGTCATAAAACGAAAACATCTACTAGCTTCCATTTAATGACTCAAACAGATTGTGCAAAAATTTATATAAAGTTGCATGCGTATATATAATATTCTATACTATAGATTTCGCACTCTTATTTTCTTCGTAAAATGCCTTGAAGATTTGTCCATTTTTTGGCTTAAAAATCTTTCATGATTATGACTATTCTTGCAATTATAGTATTACCTTAAATCGTGTCCAGATTCGGCTCGAACTAGAGGTGTCTGCACAGATCCACTGAAAATGGCACCACCCTCGCCGGTCACTCGGAGATTCTCCGAACCGATGATAACGTCTTTATGGTTGGCGGCGAATAAGACAATCCCTCGATCGTCCATGACTTTAAAATTGTTTGCTAGGCACTCGAAGCGATCGTTCCCTGCAACATATCCAGCATACCATCGATTTATTCCACCGAACTTACATCATCATCATCATTATCGATGTTAGATGGAAATAATTCAACGTTCCAGTTGTGAACTATCGACATACCTAAATATATTAAATTATTTAAAAGGCCGTTCTCGTCTCTGGTGGTCAGCGTTAGATTTCTGCTCGATTCGATGGTGATGGGTTGTCCCCTTCTGGATCGTATGCTGCTCGCAATTAGCGAGTCCAATACGTACGCTGTGCCCTCCAGACGTAAACCACCTGTTACGATTTTTAATTGACCCATTCCTTCCTGCAACGACAAAGAATAAATAATCATAATGAGACTGGATACAATTAATGCATCATTTAGGTAGGATAGAATTTCGAAGGACTCTCTTTCTTGTCCCGTAATTACGGAATAACCGAATATAATCTGAATGGGATTCTTTTCATAAAGTCGCGATGAATACACATTATATTTTCGAGTTAAATCAAAGAAGATTCGGAACAACTGTTGCATCTCAATTAAAGAAGTTTTAATTACGAACATTTTATAAAAAGCTCTTTTTCTCCTCGCCTATATATATACATTCAAGCCCTTATGAAACAGAAACCTCGAGGATATAATTACCAGAATAATTTCACGAAAGATTTTCTACGACGACTCATTATTTCAATTATATTTATATGAATGAATATTCGTATATATATCCTAAAGAGCTAAATTCGTAATGAAGTGAAATATATGGGATGTGTTTTTGTGCACTCACCGATGAGAATTCCATAACTTTAAGGACCCACAGAGTCAACGCCAAATTCACTATGACCATCACTAACAGTCCCAGTATTAATATGTAGAGGCATCGCTTCCTCCAGCCGTATATGCCTATTTTAAAGTTGTACCTTGATTCGTATGCGGTCTGGTGGTGGCTCTGCGACGACGACGACCCTCCAGCATCAGGTGGATCCGATGCTGAATTTTCATTTTTCTTCATTCTGCAAAACGAAAAAAAAAACCATCCACTATGAATATATAAAGTCCAATAGAAATATATATTTATATCTCATCAAATATATTACATTATTCTTTTATGGTAGTTTTATATTCGTATCTTAATGATAGTTGTGTGTAAGTAAATTGAGTCAAAAGGATGCTCGTGAAAATAATGTATTTATATCGGGGGTGCCTCGGTTGACTTTCCAATTGTTTTCGGCCGGAACTTTGGAAGTAGTGGTCTATTGTTGTGAGGGGGCCAGACAGTAGTTTAAATGTCGGCGGACAGTTTTATTTGGGGGGTTGTAGGTGTTCCTGTTTGGTAATGTTTCAGAGCGGTCGAGCTCCATCCTTCCTGTTTGTGTACGGTTCCAGCACCTTAATTGGTTCCTGTACTCTCATTGTTCTCGTGCAGTTGAGGTTGGCGTATGAGTTTCCGACCGTTTTTGGCATTGTTATAGTTCGGTTATTAAGGGGGGATGAGACGATGGCCACTTGCTTAACTACGAGTGGGTGGCGAGCGGAGGAATCCCCCTTTGGCGGCTGCTGCTGCTGCCTTATCTGAACTTAAGAATACCACAATACAATTTGTAGTAAATAAACGAAGCGCGCCGAAGGGAAAGTATTAGAGAGAGGTAATTTGGTGTGCTTTGTGATCGGCAGATTTCCCAAGAGTGGTAACGAAAGCAGCGGGCCCTATCGGTCAAGTATAAACCTGGACTGCAGTGGAAAAAAAAAACATTTGTGTGAGATCAGGCCAAATTGGACTCGGAGTTAAATATTGGCCGAAGGGATTTATAACCTGCGCCAAATTAAATTATCGAAAAGTATTCGGCTGAAACTCTGGACGTTTGTGCGTGCGGCCGAACGTTGTCACGCGAATTCGACGTATTGCGATGCATAGAAAAGCAATAAATACAACAATTCCGACTGAACCACTCAGAGTGTATGCGTGTGTGTAAGAGAGAGATGAAAAATTGTATATGTTATTGTATAAAATGCAATTAACTTCGGTTGTGTTAATTTGCTTTCAATTTACGACGGGAAAAGTTTTCACCGAATCCCTACAAAACTTTCCACGATGAAAAGAAGCCAAGTGTTGGTGATGGCATATATACGTGCGACTACAGTCGTTGTTCTGCACTCCATCTCTGGTTTCATAATATATAGCAAATTAATTATTTTCCAAAATAGTGTAAAAAATATATAATTGTTTAACACATTTATTCAATTATTAATTATAGATTCATATTACTCTTAAGTCGGATGAATATGTACTTATTCTATTCTTGTTATTTTGTATGATTATAAATGTTACTATTATAAATACAAGATTTAATAAATATTTTTTCTAAACATAGTCAAAGGGTGACTAATAGCCCAATGGTTAGTCGCCCTATCCACAATTTCGTGGGCGCCGGCCGGTTTGAATTTGTAATAATAAACGCTTGTTTCAAAATATTTGAATCGAAACGCAGCATTCTTCATGCGAATATAAAAATATGTTTAACGTTTGAGATACGCAGTTGCAGCTGCACCTGATTCTTCGTGACGATTCGCGACTATTCGCATATCCGAACGATTGTTTAAACAATGCAGGTGTTCGCACTGCACTCTTTTCATGCCCAAATATGGATTTGTTTATACGTACGCACCTGCAGCTGTGATTCATCGAGACGCAGGTGTGTGCAAAGTTTTATCGTTAAATTTCTATGAAGCGCTCAAATATAGAATTTTAATAATCCGTAAATACAAGAAATTATTTATAATTACTTAACAATTAAAATGTTCACTATTTTCTTAAAGTTTACTATTTCATTTTCCTTATAAAGTGTTATATTTTAATGTATTCTACACGATGGACAAGTAAAAGTAATTTGTTTCAACGTACAAGTACTTATATAAGTTACTTGGCAAATATCGCTTATCGATATTAATCAATTTGTATTACTTTCTTATCGAAACAACTCACTATCATTTTCGTGGCTCAATTGTTTAAATGTGGCGCAGCAGCAATTCGCAAATGTTTTATGACATTTCAAATTTATTGAATATTAAAAATAGTAAAAAATTCAAAACTCTTGTCTAATGTGCAAATGTTTTGTCACTTTTTATTGAAATAATTAAAATATTTTACTATCTTTCTGATTATATAATATTTGCTAAAATTGATGAAAAATTACTTGACAAGTTGCAAGTATTATTCATATATGTTTATATAAGCTACTTGGCAAATATTGGTTACTATCTAATTGTTTAAATTTAAACAGTTTGTAATTCTATAATAAATGATTTTAATGTATAGAAAAAAATGTCTTATTTAAAAATAATTGTATTTTTTTCAAAAAATGTTTGTACAATAATTTACGCTCATTTCAACATATTCGAATCGAAACGCAGCATTATTCATGCGAATATAAAAATGTGTCTAACGTTTGAGATACGCAGGTGCAGCTTCGTGACGATTCGCGATATTTCGCGTTTCCGAACGGTTATTTAAACAATTGCCTAAATTTTATTGCTTCCTTATCGAGTGTGTGAAACAACGAACTATCATTGTCGTGGCGCCGACGAATCACATTTTGCAAATGTTTATTTACATTAAAATTTATTAAATATTAAAAACAACGCGAAAACGTTGAAAACTCTTGCCCAATGTGCAAAATGTTTTGTCACTTTTCATTGAAATAAAAATTGATTAAACAAGTATTGAATTTAATTTTAATAATCTTCAAATATAATCATTATTTTTACAAAAAGTTTCTAAAATTTATTAAATATTACTTGGCAAATTACAAGTAATATTCATATATACAAGTAATTGCATCAAACAATCAAATCAATAAAAACATTTATTTTTTGAGACTACTTCTACAAGTACTCGTATAAGTTACTTGGCAAATATTGTTTAGTATATAATTATTTCAATTTAAACATGGAATGAAATGCATTATTTATATATACATTTTTCCATAATTGTTTGAATTTGTAATAATAAACGCTCGTTTCAAAATATTCTAATCGAAACGCAGCATTCTTCATGCTAATATAAAAATATGTTTAACGTTTGAGATACGCAGTTGCAGCTGCAGCTGATTCTTCGTGACGATTCGCGACTATTCGCATTTCCGAACGATTGTTTAAACAATGCAGGTATTCACACTGCACTCTTTTCGTGTCCAAATATGGATTTGTTAATACGTACGCACCTGCAGCTGTGATTCATCGAGACGCAAGTGTGTGCGAAGTTTTATCGTCAAAATTTATATGAATCACGCAAATATAGAATTTTAATAATCCGTAAATACAAGAAATGATTTATAATTACTTAAATTTACTCAACGTTCACATTGATCAACAGTCAAAGTTTTACTCGATATAACTTATGTGCATAATGATGAATAATAATTTTAAAGAATAAATAATTATTGATGAATACATGCCAGTTACAAAAAAAGCAACTTTATAACAAGTACACATAAAATACAATTACTATTAATAAAAAAAAATATTATCTGAGAATCCACTTGGAAACATAAATGTATATTCATTGCGAGATATAAACGTAGCAAAGCATACACAGTGAACAATGTAAGTACCATGCTCGAAGCGATGTGTAAACACCATCAAGTTATATAAATTCTACACATGTTGAGAGCATGTTATGACGATGTCGACATTTGTTGTAACATTATTAAATCTATGAAACGCAACATGTTTCAAAATCTATTATTACAAAATTTGATATATTATAATGAAAGTTTATTTTCACTTTATAACTAAATTCAAATTAAATAATTTCGTTGTTTGATGGAGAGATTTACAATTTTTACCTGAGTTCTATATTGATAATGAAGAACGTTTTGACCTCGTATGATTTAATAAATGTCAATAGGTATATTGACTGCAGTCGCTTGTAAAACTATTAGTCGGATGTCAAGAGTGGAGAGACCGCACTCCGGGTCATATTTCATTTAACCTGCGATAAATTCCGAGACCTTATCACGTCCTCACCGAACGGATCAACGTAATGATGCCGTAAAATATATTTTAACGAACGTTCCTTTTCGTTTTCCTGTTCTGTCCTTTTCTGTCCTCACACACACTCTCCCTTCGATTTCGCGCTAAGCCTTGTGCTGCAGTGGTAATAAAACGTCTAGATATATACTTTGCGGGATAGGATAATATTAAGATGCAGCAGTGTATGCGAAACCAATTTACCGGAGCAATTTTTCTTTTCGGAAACACACAATTCACATGTAGAAAATTCCATTATGGTCGTCCCGGCGAGATGAAAGTGTTTCAGACTTTGAAATATGTGCATTTGCTGCTGCTGCTGCTGCCGCTGCTGAATTTCGGGCTTTTCCCCAATTTTGATACCGGCGACCGCTTGCCAAAAAAGATACACTGCCTCATTCATGATTAATATCTGAGGCTCACTGCTCACCCTCTTTCTCCTGCTATGCAACCCCACGACCATGACGGATAACATATGTATATTTACATATATATTTACTTATCCCCATGGAGTCTCCCCTCAGTATATCTCTACTTGTAGACGAGCCTAATTTTTACCGCTCACAAATACAGTAGTAGTAAAAAAAAACCGCATCACTCGAGCAATTAATAAGTTATTTTTATCGTAATACATTTACATGTTTTTAGCAGATTACTCAAAAGTCGCAGTCGCATAAAATATATGAAACTAAGATTTATCGTATACAGTGGAAACTCTCTTAGCGAGTTTAATTCATTCTAAAATTTTTGGATTTTTACTCGTATAGTGAAATATTCGTATAGTGAAACACGTTTTCCCATATAAAATAATGTAAATTACGTTAATACGTTCCTTGCTGGAAGCAAAAAGAATAAGTTGGTCTCGATTTTTCATGATTTTGCTTTTCATATCTATGGTTCTTTATATTCTTTGGCTTTTCACAAACAACACTAAGATGCTTAAATCTTGTAATTTTTTACTGCGAATTTGAATAAAACATAAACAATAGTGATACTTTTATTACCCAGTAAACACTAGTCTTAACATTCTTGTTTTGTGACCTTGATACAATTGCTGTTATAATTATAACTCTTAAAATGAAAGCAAAAGTCACTTAAGTCGTTTGCGGACAATCTCATAAAATTACATATAAAAAAAACGAACTAAATCGTGTAGCAGTGGACCACAGGTTGAAGAACACTGATTTAAACTATTTAAACTCATTTTTATAACTTAAAATTAATTCGTAAAGTGAGCATTCATTTTATAAAGTTTACCTAAAACTAAATACTATGAATGAAATTTACGAAGTCCAAAAAATAACAGATTTTCCAGCTCTTCAGAACTGTGCTTATATTTTAGTTTGCTAATGAAACATATACAGTGGAACCTCGTTTAACGAGTTTAATCCTTTGCAAAATTTCCGATTTTTTACGTTTTCCCATATAAACTAATGTAAATTACGACAATACGTTCCTTGCTGGAAACAAAAAGTATAACTTGGTCTCGATTTTTCATGATTTTGTTTTTCATATCTATTGTTCTTTGGGTTTTTATTCGAAGACATGAAAGTGTTATTAAATTTTGCACAAAAAGAAACACAAATAACATGTCTGAACATAAATTTGGAAATTTTGTGATCACAAACAACACTAAGATGCAACTAGAATGACCACGCAACTGTTTTCCAATTCACACACGATAAAGTAAGTTTATATTATATATAAATTCGGGGACTTGTTGGAAATCTCTTTATACTTTTAATATTTGTTTATATAAAAAAGCGTACATAGTGTGTTTATATATTATAATAATGGTTGGACACAATACATTTGTGTTTTGTATTTACAGCAAACATAAATTATATTTGCAAAAGTGATGTAAAAGGTGCACAATCCGGGACTTCTTTTCTCATCCTCACTCGTTATGCGAAACGTCGCTCGTTAAACGAGTCGTTTTGCTTAGAATTCATTTTAAGCGAGGTTCCACTGTATGTTTTTAGTAAACGAGTATATGAGCAAATATAAAATTAATGATATTAAAAATATTTTAGATATTTAGTTTGTTTTAAACCACTAGATTTATTTGAGCAAAATTGTGATGAAAGAAACAATTTTGTTAGTCACAAATCTCTGGTAATAATTTAGAATAAATTCGAAATTACTAACATTTTCCATTAAAATTGCTAAAAAAAAAACTCTGAAAAGAGCAACAGTTAACCGATTCCTAAATAACTATTATTAAGATTGAATAAATCGGTCCTAAAATATGAATAATAAACAACTAATTGTGTTTATTTTAAATTTAATTAGAATTAAACAAAAATAAATGTTCATTAATCAATTTGTCATTGCTAAACTTGAAAAATATTAATAAAATGCAAAGAATTGAAGATGAATTTTATAGTAATCTATTAAGCAATTGCAGAATTCGTATAGTTATTTTGGAAGCAATTCGATTCGAATATAGCACAAATATTTTGCAGCCGTCTGATTTACGACGCCCTATAAATTATATAAACGACGTTCACATAAATATATTGGTTGGTTCTCTTCTTTGGTGAGCTTTAAATAAAATTCAAACCCGTAATGTTTGTGTGTGTTCGTGTGTGTATGTGCGGCGGCTCTTGATGGCGGTTTATTTTAGTACGGAAGTGACTGTTCAAAAGCCACGTATAAATTAATTACTATAAATAGTACAAAAGTGAATAAACAGCGTGCGGATCTCAGTGCGCCGAACGCAGACAGAAAACATCAACACAAGAAGTTTCAAATTAAGAAAGACACCTTTCCAATTTACGAATTGTTGATGATTTGATATAATTTTAACGTAATTATCACGAGTTGAAGTGACAAAAAAAAAACGGGTAATGTGTATTGACGTGGTCGGAGTTGTGAATGTTTGTAGTTTCATTTGCAATTGAAGCAGATGTCGTAAGGTGTTTAGGTTGCATGGTAGGAAGGCAGGCGTCCGAAGTCATTATCGTCAGCTCCGTTGCACACCCGAAGGTAGTAGCAGTTGGAAATTACGGAAACCGAAGTTTATGCTTATCGTTTATAGAAACCATTATTACGTAATTTTCTCTACGAACTATCAAAAATAAAATTATTAAACTAACTATATAACTGCGCGTAATAATTGCTTTCACCAAGTTGCTTCTTTGATCTATACTTAAGAGATTATCGTATTACAAGCAAATACCACTCATTCACTTACTATATATTAGAAAAGTACTTTCCAAACTTTATCTTCCCTTCCTGTTATGAAAATTACATTCATACTTTTCGCGCCTCTTTTGTATTAACTAGTATGAAATTTCTGATTGAAATTGTAATAAGTAATGTGAAAACTAGATTAGAATATAAATAAAAATGCAGTATATTGTTAGCCGTTCGGTAATAAATTAATATTGATTTATATAAATTGGTATTTAAATATTCTAAATTTAATTTTGGTCAGACCATCATAATTGAACGACGGAGACTAGACACGATTGCATTCGGAAGGATAATCAATAAAATATATTGTATATATTGGGATCAAGTCTATTATTATACACTTTTCATTGTCACGAATATTATATAGAATATTTTAATAATGTACAAAACAAATAGAAATAATCAGGAATTATTGAATTGTATTTATATGTTTTTATATATAATATACAGTTTTGAAATGAAATGGAAATGGATATTATATTTTACACATGATGTTGGTTATTAATTTAGGAATGGAACAGTGTTAGCATTAAATTACATAAAAAGTGTGGAAAAATGTGTGTAAAATAGCTTGATTTTAGAACTATTTACGTGTAAATTATTTATTACTCTTAGAAAATGGGAGTGCGTGCGTGTTAGATAGAGCGATATGGAGCTTCCAGACTTACAATATACCAGGCAGCAATACAAAGTAAACGTGACGGCAAGTTGTAGTACAACACATCAACTTTATTATTTCTGTCACGTACTTTTTAATCCTTCCTAATTGATATTGCCCTTTTTTATTTCTCATTAAACTACAACACTTGCTCTCTTTTTTGCATCACATTCTTGTCTCATTATATAAATGCATGAAATTATGATTTATAAAATATTAATATCATGAATAATAGTTTACAATTACAAATTGCTACACGATATACATGTGAATTACTTGGCAAGTTACATGTTATGAAATGTTTAATGTATAAAATTCAATTTTTGTTTATAAAACTCAATGTATTTCATAAATAATTACTTCTAAAATAAATTAGATTTCTCTCAATAGATTTGAAATTTTCTTTCTCATTAAACTACAACACTTGCTCTCTTTTTTGCATCACATTCTTGTCTCATTATATAAATGCATGAAATTATGATTTATAAAATATTAATATCATGAATAATAGTTTATAATTGTAAATTGTTACACGATATACATGTGAATTACTTGGAAAGTTACATGTTATGAAATCTTTAATGTATAAAATTCAATTTTTGTTTATAAAACTTAATGTATTTCTTAAATAATTACTTCTAAAATAAATTAGTTTTCTCTCAATAGATTTAAAATGAAACGATCTAATTTTCGTGTCCCTTTTGTCGATTGGTTTAGATTTGACTCGAACCAATAGAATTATTAAGATCGAAAAAATGACTGTTTTATCTTGTATTCAAAACTAACTCCTTTTGTGGCCCAATAAGTATTGTTTAAACGTTCCAATAAGCTGTGATTAAAGAATAAACAAATGTATTTGTTACAGTTTTAATAATAAGTAAATGTTATCTTTACATTATCCGGGTTTAATTCTGTATTCATGTGCTGGTTACTATCCTTTTATCTTTATATTTAGCGTATCTGATCCTCTGGAATGCCGACGCCGTCTATATACATGCGTCAGTGCTTCATTAATCTTACTGTTAATTAGTTGCAGACAATTAAACAAACTTAATCGTAACAAAGCGCGCTGTTTCATGCTATTTAAATACCAAATATTTGGAACACAAACAAGTTTAGAAGATTCTTGATCTTATGATATTTAAGACTTTTAATATTAGGTTACTGCAGCATTTTTGATTCTCTTTATTTTGTTCTTTATAATGTATTATTATTATTGAACATAAAATCACAATAATAACGTTTGTTGCAACAATCACAAAACTTAAACAAAAAAGTATAATTTCTATTGCTGTTCAAATATCTTTAATAACAAAAACTAAATGTACACGTATTTCCTTCAAGATCGAATATATTTAGCAATAAAAATGAGATATTTCTGTTTTAAACTCATAAATACGAAACGTGAAAATGTGTTTATACGATCGATAAATTTCTGAAGAAGCCGCCGAAATATTTGTCAAAAAAACATTCGTGTGTGATTTAGTTTTGAAAACCTTGGCACGAGTCGTGCCACGACATAAAATAAATACAATCATATAAAATAAATCAGTAGAAAACCGTACAGAAACAATAATGAAACAACAATGAGAAAAAACACTTAAGAATATTATAATTTTGATGCAATCTTACCTAGACAATTCTGAATTATTGTTCGATAATTTGTTATTGATTTGATTTCCCTGCAACAACGAGAAGAAAACACAAATTACATTATATTCATTTATATATAAATGCACCTGAAATAACATAAACAAATGTGTGAGATACGTTTTAAAATGACTTTAAAATTAATTTTATTTTATCGTGTAATTATTGCAATTATCGGACGAGTGAAATATGGTCTGTCGTATTACAGTTTGCGGCCGTAAATTAATATTGGTATGTCGAATCTGATGAAATTGTTTAATTAGAACAAATATATAAATATTGGATTTGTCACTCTCTCCGGGATTATGTTTAATATTATTGCTATAATTTTTCACGATTATCTCAATAATTTTTAAATCAATTTAATGACATATATTATATGATATTTATACAATGATTCTTCTGTACATAAAACAATTTGTTATAGTTGATTATCAATACTCATAGGATTAGTTTTAGTTACATTTAGACAATGAAGGAAATCTTATAAAAATCCATAGTAATTACGTAGAAATATCGTAGATTTGAGAGTTTTAAAAGTAATTGGATAGAGAAAGTTATTATTGCATAATATATGTGTGTGTGAAATTGAAAAATGTAGAAGAGCAGTAGGTAATATGAACACTGCGAGTAAAATTAGTCGTTGCATAAGGATTGAGGATTATTCCGTTAAGCATCTGGAATTAGCTGGCATTTATGATGTTGCTCAGGCAGAAATCGCTATCGAAGCTAATTGTCTGTGTAGTGCAGTTACCATCTTGACAACGAGTAATGCAGGAATGAATAAGCGAAAGAGCTCGAATGAGATGTCATTAACCACTCTTCGCATTCTCCAGATGTTTCCCCCCTTCGTCAGAGCCCTGTAACCTGCTCAGGTCACTCGAAATCTCTTCAAATGATAAAAGCACTTTCCACTTTTGCAACATGCATATCATATCATAAAACCTACTATATACACATTTTTTTTTCATTTAATTTTTTTTTAATGAAAGCTACTACATTAAAACCATATTTTCCATTGAATGTGCGATGAATGTGCGACAACTACACGTGCACAGGATTAATCTTTTCATTATGGTCAATCTCACATTGGTGCGCGAACGAATGTTCGCAATTTTCATGTTTTCGAATCTATTGAAATAGTAAATTAATGATGTACATCGTTTGCGAAGCAGATTAAATTTAATTGTGTTTTAATATCAACAAAATCGCACGCAAGTGGAAAATAATTGGTAACGATTAGTTTGTATGAGAGGATATTAACGAATAGCAAATAACAATAGCATCAGCACTGGAAATAAAACAGTTGCAAAGAAGAATAGGTCACACAGCCATCCATATATTTTTAGTTACGTAATGCGGAGGAATATATTATTTACGCTTGGCGTATAAGAGTGGAAGGCAGGCGAAGATTAATGGGCACGGGTTAGTTTTCCAGTTTGTTAAGTTATTTATAGGCTTCATTAGTGAAACATTGATGAGCAAAATTGAGCATCTTCCAAAATCATTCGACGGCCCACCTGCAAAAGAAACTTTCCACAAATATATACACAAAAAAAAAACATAATACATCGATGCACATCCGTTTCTGTTTGGTTTTAATGCAGTGCAAAAAGATTCGCCGCATATTCGAATTGTTGGATAATTCCGCGAACCGCATGGGATTTAATTAAAAAACATTTATTATTAATATCATTACGGCTTCTGCGGAAACACACTTTTACAACTTAATTGCTGCATTAAAAGACTTTTCTATCTGCTATTTCATTACTACCGCCTATGTCTATATTTTAATATTCTTTTTTTTTGTGTTTTTTTTTTATTTAGGTTTCTCTTGCTAAGCGCAAAACTAATTAAACGCAGTTCCGTTTACGATTGATTTACTGTGTTTGTGGTATAGTTGCATGTGTATGTGCGTTCGCGTTTTATGAAGATATTTGTGTACAGAGCTTATGACTGGAAATTGAAAATTTTGAGCGGCTATGAAAATTTTACTACTGGGGCATATTCACAGCGATGCTACTAAATATTTATTATATGAATCGTTTCAAACATTCACATTCTTATTTATATAAATATACCAAAATACTCGAATAAATTGCTTAATTACTTTTTGTGAAAGATTCATAATGGAACAAAATTTGAAGAACATTTTATATACTCTTGTTATACGTTAGATATGTAGTTAAGGCCACTGTTAGAAACGAAGAGAGTTGACAGAAAGATAATAATTGTACGGGGTATTCGTTCCCAACACAATTTACTTTACACAAAACTGAAATATAAATATTCCCTTCTAAATATTAATACGATAATCATGACAGTACAATTCTTTCATATAGTTTATATTTGCATGAGAAAATATCAATTTTCAAACTGTTGATTCAACACATATTGATATTTATGTGTTTCCATTACTGTAACATTATTTGTTTGCAGTCTAGTTGAGACAACTCAATGCTATTATCGGCACAGAAAAATTAGTCATCCAATTATGTAAGAATGAACACGTTCGATACGTCGGTAGGAATTACCACGAATGAAACGATCTATTTTCTTTCATGTGACAGGAGTGCGATGAAGATGATTTGTCGTGTTGCGAAAGTTTGGTTTACATTGGCACAGTTTAACGGTGAAATACTATATCCTCTCACCAGCAGTGGCAGTAAATTAGTACTGTAAACATTGTAATATAATTGGAGCGCGCTTGGATACTTATATAGAACTAATGATCTTAGTCCGAAATTTCAGTTTTATGAATCAATGTCACGAATTTTGTGCATTTTGGGTGATCTCGAGCGCAATTGGTAAACACAATGTGGAGTAGACAAACATGTTTAAGCTCTGCAAAATTAAACTGTAATCACGGTATTAAGTTACTTCAGGAAATAATTTAGTCTACATGTCTGTTTCATAGTTATCATTTTTTGCTAATTGAATTATACATGCAACTATTGTATTAATCCAATTTGTTCGAAAAGATTTCAGTACATAAATATTAAAATTAGTATAATAGCGAAAACAGATAAATATTCAATAACTTAACAAATTTTACTATTAACAATGATAGACTTATAGAAGAATATAATTATGTGTTAATGTTTACTAGTAATTTGTCAATTTTCAAGTCGCCATAAATTCGTGCCCTCTTGAAAATATATTTCATTAAAAAAAGGAGGAGAGCTAAAAAAAATAAATAAATAAGAAAACGAGAAGTGGAAGTAGTAGAAGAAGAACGTGAATTATGAGTGAAAACGAAATTATTAATAAATCATATTTTCCGGTTGTTATTATAACGCAAGGCACGCTGAGAAAGTTTTCTAAGTGGAGCATATTGCTTTCATTAATTTTCATCACGTTGAAAGAATGGTTCGTTTTTGCAAAATTTGTAATAAGTTTATGGATAACTGTCCGACGCACGTGCTCTTATAAATTTATAAAATAAAACATCTACATCTTGCCGAAATGATCATTAGACAATTAATTATCATCATCTTATTAAAGATTCTTCCTTCCTCTTCCACTTTACTTCCAACTCGGAAATATTAATTTATCTAATTTTAGTGAAAAAGTTTTTTCTATTATTTGAATATTTAATATCAAAAAAAAGAACGAACAAGTTGATTCATACAAATATAATAATATATATTATTTATTGAAACAAACAAAAAACAAAAGTTTGTGTACTTGATTCGAAAAATAGTTTGAAAATTCTAAAACAAATCAAGTATTAAAAGTTTGTAGAAATCTTTATTTAAAATTTGTGAATTTAATTTGATGTTTGAACAGAACATCGACCATTCGGTCATTCAGCTTTCATTGAATGTGTGTGTGTGTATTAATATAGAATCTTATTTTTGGTAAAATTTATTTTGAGACGAACTAATTTAGGTTAAAAACAAACATTTAATCATAATTAATAATTGATATCCTTTTGATCCTTTCTGAAGTTGCGTGTCTGATGATATAAATCACAGTTGAAATCAGAGAGAAAAAAAAAATATTGGCTCATTTTTCAGGGGCGCTTGGATATTGTCCAAGACGCGCGAAGTTGTCCAAAAAGGTTAGGCTCATGACTTTGTGACAATTGTACAAAGAAAGAAAGAAAAAAAAGTATATATAGTTGAAGTTAAAGCTAAATCGGAGTAGAGATATAATAAACGCTAGAATTAGTTGAGAAATAATACAATAGAGTATTGTTGGTGAACTTCCTTGGAAGTAGATCGAGCGAAAATAAATTGTAATAGTCTATTTCAAGTTGTGTGTGCACTTGGTGCGCTCGTGTATGTATGTTGTGCGCGCGTACTGTGTGTTTGTAGGGAAACTATAATATAATCCACTTACTATTTATAAATGTTGAATACAGACACAAATCCCTATTCTCATAGTACAAACAAACAGTGAAATTAAATCGTCCATACAGATTAATATAATACATGCCGGTTCGGTTGTGCGAAGCGCAGCGTCGCGCGGTCGAGTTAACACTCCTCGTTCGTGGTTGAATGTTACGAAGCCAAGTTCTCGCACATTTGCTGCAATCTCGTCCTACTTCTTTCGATCTCCCTAGATCCACTTCGGCCTTTATAAATAGCATACTTCACTAACTGTTTTTGTATACACACATCTACACTATGAAAGAGGGAGTAAAACGAGAGACACACACCAGCTAAATACACCTACGCCAACCTCTATCAAAACTACTCAAAAGGCTTGCCTTTTATCTACTGTATTCAGAACGTGTAAATGTTTCTGCAGTCTGCGCGATTCATCGACCATCTAATTAAAATCAACACAAACAAACAGACATTTTTACCATTTTTACTATTTATACTTATTACCTATTTTGAAACAAATTTTTATAATGAATTATTACAATAACTGATACTTCGACACTTCGTCTGAATCAGTTTAGTGGTGCTTAAGCATACTTTATAAAAAGTTGGGCGGATATATCCGCCTATCTTTCACAGAAAAATAATTTGGAAGTTTATATTATTTCGTTAAATAAACTTATTATTTCCATAAGTTTCTTTAAATTCGCATTATTGTAGATGTAACATTATAATTGATTCAAACTTTGAAGCAGTTATGATTCAATTATACATATCAATATGACAAACGTGCATATTACTAAATCCTAACACGCGATTGCTCTAATAGAATCAAGATTTAAAGATGTAAGTACTTTCTTAAATAAGATTTCATAGAATGTAGTACTTTAAATATGAAAGTAAAAGAGAACAAAAAACGAGGATAATAGCTAGTCATTTTTTGGGGGCTGTAAAGAGTCCCCTAGTAATGGGATATAGGCCATTTAGTCCACATATAGATAAGCCTCAGTTACCAGCAGACGTAGCAGCCGGACCCCTTTATAGATTACCATCTTTGTGCTTGTTGTTATAGCACTTGCTTTCCTGTTAATACTCTGCAAAATCCTTTGCAATTTAGCTGTTTGATTAATATTATTAAGAGTCAATACAAATATCAATTATATGCAAAAGTTAATTTAAGTTATTAAACTCTAAGTCTTGATTATGCAAGGCGAATGCAGTAATTTTCTAACGTTAAAGCGAAATTTTGTTGTATGATGAATTATATTACATACTAATTACAATACATACGTAATATTGTACTTTGTAATTAAGATTTGAATTATTTAAACTCGCTAATTGAATCAATTAATTTCTAAACTATAATATTAGAAATCATCTTCAATCAATTCCTTTTACGGCGGTAAATAGATAATGGACAACAGATGCTTATTTAATGAACTTGAACATACACATTAGCGGACGGAGGGCTTAAATAAAATATCAATAGGATCGATTCGAGTCGTCGCGAAAACCAGAGGCGGCACATTTAACGTATTCCCTCTATTTACTAAATCTCTCTCTATATACAACCTATATACTTTTACATATAAGAGCACTTTTTTTTGCTTCACTTCCGAACGGTGAGCTTTTAATTGATGGTTTCAATTCCTTTTTTTTTCAAATTTAATTGCGCAACAGCTCTGATGAAAATGTGTTCGATGTGCCTTTAATTTGTCTAAAACGCAAATGCATGTTGAAACAATTACGTTACGTGTGTTTATTTGGATCCAATTGGATCTTAAAGTGCATCGCTTAATTTTGAACATTTACATATTGCCGGTGTGCACAGAGCTGTATCCTTTCCAGACGCAATGAATTTCTTGAGCATGCAACGAACACTTTAAAGAGACATAAAAGAGAAACTCGTTTTACATGTGCTTTATTATTTAGATGAAACACATTCGTCTTTACATTTACAAATTTCTTTTCAGGTTTTTTTTTCCATTCTATATCGATTATCATATTAGATTTCAAGTATAATTACAGAATAAAATTAGAAAGTGATTAACAGAAATACAAAGATATTGTAAAACACAAACGAAGAATACCTGTATATATAAATAGATGGAAATTACAGGAATACGTAATATGTTTGGTTCACATCAGCTTGAAGACAATATATATGATATGCTTCAAAATTGGACGTACGAAAGACATCTGTGTATGTTTGTATTTGTGTAAGCGACATGCATATTAACAAAAATAATCTTTGTGTGCGCCGTTCTGGCAACCGTTGCCTCTCATTTCGACGATAATGCCGTAATTAAATTTAAAAATAGAACCGGTCTAACTGTTTCATGCGTCCCCGAGTGCATTCCCGAGCATAATGTTATTATGCAATTTGTTGCTTCATTATTTATCCATATATCAAGGAAACTTTTGTTCATGTTTTACACACAACAAAGAAAGAATTGCATATAATAGTAATGAAGTATATTTATTTTAGTATTGTGTGGTACCCAGATGCGCCTTAGAAATGCAATTGTGTATACTTTAAAGTGAATGTTAATAGTAATGATAGCTTGGCTTTGAAGCCTAGCTGCATTGGACGATCAATATAAAGATGCAAAGGAGACCGTCCTCAAGATTTCTGGCCCATATTCTACGTATAAAGCGCATAAAACCCTTGAATACAAATTATGCAAATGATTATAACATAATAAATTGCTGTATGAATGAACTATAACTAGAAAGAGAAATATTAGATATAAATAAATCAAAGATCAATATTGTTTTCATGTATTTGTAACAATTTCATAACACGAAAATTCATCTTAGTTTCAATAGAAACATGTTGATACATCAATTGCTTTTAAGTCTTTTCAAAATTCCTTAATTAAATAATATCATTATTATGTTACTAATTTGTATTATTTCTAGAAATAAATGTAAATAAATCAAATCAAGTCAAAGTTTTCATTTCATTGCACTTGTATATTCACAAGTTAAATAACATTTAAAACGAATATGAAATAAAGTTATTTTGAATTCAAATCGTTTTATTATCGGTATATGATTACAAATTTAAAGTATTTTTGTTGGTAAAATCTAGGTGCGGAAAAGGTTTAGGATATGTTCGAACTCGCCAACTTCGGAACGTTCTACGGACGTTTCAAATTACAAATTTCTCCATTTCTCCTCAGCCGCACGTCGCCGCGGTTCACCATTTCTCATTTATCTGGGTCACGAACTTTTATTTCTTATCGATGCAAAACTTGGCAATCCCACTTAAACCTTTTCATGAAAATGTAATTGAAAAAAAAAAATCCACACACGTATTTATGTTTAGCTACCTACAGTGGACAACGGCTCAACAACAGAATAATACGAGTGAATGCAAATGTAGTGAATCAATTTGTATTTCATATTAATTTTATACAAAAATTAAACTATTTTGTAATGAAAAATTTTAAATGCAAAGATTTGTTAAGAGGATTTATAAAGTAAAACAAAAACTTTGAAAGTTAAAGTACGTATATTATTAAGTATGCTTATTTTGTATTAATACTATGCTAATGATTTTCAATTGTTTTAAATCATGGTATATTTGATTCGCATTATAAAATTGAAATGAAGAACACATTTTGAAAGTATTGATTATATGTTTTGCAGGATGTGCGTTTATTACTATTTTCCTTTTTTTTAATTCGTGATAAACAAAGAACTTTGCGCAAATGATTTGAAGATTTAATTCCGTTCTGACACGTTCGGATTGCTTAATAAATCCCCGGAGCACACGGTACTTTACGTGCTCGAACTAGGAAAACAATTGAACCTGCATTATCGTTTTTGCCGACAATAGTAATGACGCGCGCGTAATTCACTAATAATTACCGTTGATTACCTGCTCTGGCTCAGAGGGTTTTCGCACGCCAAGGATGTATGTAGCAGTTCCATGTTCGCAATGTATCGTGTCGCGATATTTTATGCATTACGTAAAAAAAGGGAGAGAGGGAAATATATTTGTGTGTGTGTACAAGAAAAAAGGATATATAGAGGAGAGAATCATACGTCGAAGGGGTGGCAAAAATTGTCTAACACTTTCTCTCCGCCCTTCGCCACCTGTTGCCCACGCATAAAACACTTCGCCGACGCTTTTCCCCAAACACGGGTCAAAGCTTTATAGTTTCAACATGATGTATCTCAGTGTTGCTGCATCGAATCCATATTGGATATTTACCGCTGATTCTTTTCACTTCGCTGCTTCCCTTTTGCACGTTCATTGCGGATACGTGTTTTCGGGGTTTAATTAAACGGAAAGGAGGAAACAGCTTAGTATTTATCCTGCTGAATAAAGAAATAGATAGTTTGGCATTGCAGTTCCGCTTTTTTGGTAATTTAAAGCGTGTTTTATAGAGGGAGGTGGATCGATAGATTTGTCACGTTTGTCCAAGTAATTGGAAAGATAGCGGACGTGAGACTGACACATTGCACTCGACATGCCGATTGTTTCGTTTTAATTAATTTTTCACACAAGAATTCCAAAATAAATTACACATTTCCTACCTCAGGTTTAACCTGTCGCGATAAGCTTTGATAGATGTAATTACATTCAATTTCCACCAATTAAACTAGTTTCATTTAAGAATACGTACTTGTTAGTGAATGCTTACATATTCTATAAATTATGAATAGAAATACTTTTAAAAAATATAATGTAATACATTCATTCATTCACTAATAATTTATAAGTTTTCATAATATTTAGACACAATAAAACGATGCGTTACAAAGTTTCAAGTCTGTATTATTACATAAATTTGTTTACATATAATTTCATGAAGAAAATTTTAAATACGGTGAAGCCTTTGATAATGACTTGTTTTGATAAACTAGTAAAGTTTAAATTCAACGATCACAGATTATATATTTCGCGGTTTTTTTTTTGTAAATTTGTTTGTTTGAAAAACGGTGGGAAAGGATTTGATCGAAATTGCGAACAGGACAAAATCGCCGCCAACAACCACTAGAAACTTTTCTCTCTCCCTCGTTCGCATGACTCGTTTTGAATATGCTGGAATCGTAGCGACGTCATCATATAACTTTTCGGTTTCTTCAATTACGTTCGTTCGTTGGTTGGTTTGTTTATCTTTCGTAATTTTCGAACGGCTTTTAATCTTATTACTCCGTCGGAAAATGGACCGCTCGATTATATTATGTAAGGCCGCAGCCGACTCTGCACCAAAATCGTAACGACGACCG